CTCCAGCTGATCGGCAAGCACATGGCCACCAACCAGCTGGAGGGTCCTTTAAATCTTGTAGCCACCATGCTAGAAAAACAGCATTTAAAGGGAACCCTTTAAATCCTGTTTTTCTGGCGGGGGGCGCACACATTCCCAGGCACAGGCAGCCCCTGCTAAAAAAACAGCATTTAAAGGGAATCCTTTAAATCCTGTTTTTCGGGGGAGGGGGGCAGCTTCAGGCTTTCCCTGATCTCCAAGTGGCAAAATCACCACTTGGAGATCAAGGAAAGTGTACAGCCACCCCTTTCCCTTGCAGGAGTCGTCACTGGCGCCCGGGTGAAATTGACCAGGATGGGATTTCCCAGCTGGGCGGCAGGGCACCCGGAAGAATTTTTTGCACCGGCTCAGACTAGCTGTCACTTTCCCGCTTAGTCGGGGCAGTTCCTGGTCCCTGATGCTCCCTGCCTTTCCGGATGCTCCTAGAGGAGGCAAGCGGGCAGCAGGTGGCCACCTCACCCTTTTAGAAAAACAGCATTGCGCACAATGCATTGACATTACTCAGAAGTGATGTAGGCATGCCGGTGACTGTTGGGGGGTGACGCTCTGGTTTCTGGGCAATTTTAGCATAGAGTTTTGCCCAAAAACCAGAGCGTCGCCCCCGACATCACTGGCATGCCTACATCACTTCCAGGTGACGTATACATGTCACATGATGTACCCACCCACTCCCAGAACACCCCCATCCCACCGCCAGCGTGACAATCGGACCTGGCAATCCTAATCAATAAATGTCTGAATACATGCTAGAAGGGCACACAAAGGGAAGGCCTTGGCTTCTTCACCCTTGTTTTGCTGTCCCTTCATGGTAACTCACAGCTGCTGGACCAATGGTCTGAACCATATTCTTATGGAGAGGCTTTGACCTTTGTATGCCTGTGTGAGAGTGGTGGTTACTGTGGGAAACATTGGACATTTCATTATGTTCCCTTCTGTGTATTTACAGATCCTGTTTTCTCCTTTGAAGAGTTGTATTTTTTAAAATTATTTATTTATCAAGTTTTTAGTACAAAAAAGAAAAAGTGTATGTAATTGTACAGGATTAACCCACCCAGGCCAGTCTAGGGATGAGAGGGAATCCTGTACTTTTCAGTACGTTAAACAACAAACCACGAGATGGTCTATACCCTCTCTGGTTTCCAGACAATTTGCCACCAGAACCTCTTTTCACTAGTCCCTGCTTTTCCTAAGGGAAGAGATTCCAAACCCTTAGTTGGCATCTGGGACAGAACACATTAGCAACTCAATCCAGAGATGCACACTTTTACTCTTAC